ATATAACAGTCAAAAGGCACATTGTAATAGTCTTCAGTTCATTCACTAAACATACAAATACTCACCGACCGACCACCTACTATTCTCTGGATCTTTGGATAGAAGCTTCTGTCTTTCCTGCAGTGTTTAGTTTGCTTTCAGTGATTAAGACACTATAGAATTATTTAAACATCACCAGAAATATGCAGGCAAGCTGAATTAACCACCTAGTCTCCAATTGTGCCTTCATCTGAATACGAATAATACTTTCGTTACTTTCTCAGTTTCTTTCTCTTCTTTTAACTGAAATTCCACCCAAAAGATAATTTATTTAGTCATTATGTGAATTTTAAATGTATTTTTTGCATAATTTTGTATCATCAATTTTTCAATGTTTATTTGAGAAGCACCTACTATGTTCCAGGTTCTGTAGAAACCATCTTCTCTTCAGTGACTCCCTTTCTTCTGTGGGAGGTGGATAAGCAGATGTGGTGCACACATTGTGCGTGATGTGGTGCATGCATTGGGCGTGATGTGATACACACGGGCACTAGAAGCACGTGGCCACAGGGAGACATAGTTACACAAATAGACTCAGGGAGGCTCAGGGAATGTCTCTCCCAAGAAGTTGCATCTAATATGAGCCAATATGAGCCAAGAAAAGAGGGGAAAGAAGATTCCAGTAGAGGAAAGAATACGTGGAAAAACTAAAAGGCACTAAAACACATGACCTGTTAAAGGAAATAAAGCAGTTCAACGTGGTTGTGGGGAGGGGTGAGACACGAGGCCTTGCTACCTCTCCCTCTCACTGCGTCACCAGGAGTCTTCTGAGCCAGTTCATTCAGTTTTGTTCTGAAGACAATAGGGAGCTACCCAAAGGCTTCTGCAGTATCACATTAAGGTTTAATCCCTCCCTCTTACCATACAGATACCATGCATGTATATATTCAGAATGACTCACTTGAATTTAATCAATCAGTTAAATTTTCTGGTAAACAAGTTTGAAGTTCTCTACTGCTTTTGGAAAGAAGGAATTGATGATAAGGTTATTACAGCCAATCAAACAAGTCTCTAATACGTATCTGACAAAGCTTAAAAAATGAGACAGGGCTGGCCTGGTGGCGCACTGGAGAGTGCCGCTTGGGAGTGCGGCGGCGCTCCCGCCAAGGGTTCGGATCCCACGTGGAGACCGGTTCCCGCTCACTGGCTGAGCGCGCACACCGTGGGTTGCGATCCCGTTGCCCGGTCCCTGGTACGGGTGCGACACCGAGGGTTGCGATCCCGTTACCGGTCAGTAAAACAGACAAAAAGGAAAAAAAAAATGAGACAGCCTATTTATTGTACTTTGGGCTCTGGTTGAAGATTTTACTCTTTTTCATAGAATTACTCTTTTAAGGTTTTTCCTAACAATGGCTATCAGTGTACTTAATACATTTTCAATGCACAAACTGGAGATATGACTCAGACTCAATAGTCTTTAAGTGATATCTAAAGTCATGTGATTTGGATTTTTATCTTTTTTTTTGTACATGTGTCTTATTTATCTTTATTACTTTAATTATTTTTAATTCAAAATATTCTGACATTTACTTGTATACATTTATGGAGTACGATGTGTTGTTTCAGTACCTGCATATACTGCACAATGGTTCACTGAGGGTAGATAGCATAGTGGACTTATTTATTTATTTATTTAAATTGGCAAATAAAATTGTACATATTTATGGAGTACAACATGATTTTTGATATATGTATACATTGTGGAGTGGCCAAATCAAACTAATTAACATGTTCTTTAGCTTACATACTTTTTCTTTGTGGTAAGAACACTTAAAATCTACTCTCAGCAATTTTCAAGTACACAATATATTGTTATTAACTATACTCACCATGTTGTACAATAGATCTTTTGAATTTATTTCTTCTGTCTAACTGAAATTTTGTATCCTTTCATCAACATCTCCCCCAGTGCCCCTTCCCCCTCCCTCTCCAGCACCTGGTAACCACCATTCTACTCTGCTTCTATGAGTTCAACTTTCTTAGATTCCACATATAAGTGAGATTAGGCAGCATTTGTCTTTCTGTGCTGGCTTATTTCTATATTTTCTTTTTAATCACTGTGGTATCCCTGGTGTGTAAAACAGTGCCTAGCATGCAGCAGGCACTGAGAATGTTTCTTGAATGCATAAGTGACTACAAAGTTCAGATGATATCAGAGGATAGGGTCTAGGAAGTCCTGGTAGCCAGCCTCAACCCACACCATCCTCTAGCAGGTTCTTGGCTCCACCACAGGAAAGAATTCAAGGACACAGTCACAGTACAAAGTGAAAATAGGTTTAATGCAATGGGTAAGAAGTATAGGATTCATGGGGAAAGTGCGACCTCGCTCCAGAGACTGAGCAGGGTCTGCACCTAGTTTAATATGAAAGTAAGTAATGCACACTTAACGTTTAGTACAAAGTATAGGCTGGCTCAAGAGCGTGAGCAACAGCTCCTTAGCAATAAGCTTAACACAAAAGTAAAGTATGCACACCTCTCTTGGCAAGGTGCAGGTAGGCTCCAGGAAAGCAAGAAACCAACCACAGCAAGTCTGATGCAAAAGTAGGAAGTTCACATTTATAGACAAAGAGTGGGCTGGCCTCAGGGTGGACAGCAGCCTGCTAAAGGCAAGTTTGGTACAAAAAGAAATACACACCTCAGGTGAAGTGCAGGTGGGCTGTAGAGAAAGTGACAGCAGCAGCCCCACCTTCTCTACGTGGATTTGACTTTTATAGTTTTTCTCTCTGATACATATTGATGCTATCTAATGAATATTTAACTAAGGGGGTGGTTCCCAGTTATGTAACATAGTCTTGCACATGCTCATTTGGTTTCTTTTTAGAGCCCATTCAGCAGTTGAATTCCAACATATCCACTGGAAAACACCTAGAATATTCAGTGCTCTCCAGCGTGTCTAGCAGAAAGTCATTCAAAGGATAAACTCCCCTCTACTAAGCATGCTCAGTTCCTAGGGTTATATAACCCATCTCCACTGAGCATGCCCAGACACTGAATTTACATAAGCCAACCCCCTGAAGTCTCAATTTCCCCATGTTGGTGCCAAAAATAGGTCCAACTAGCAACAGTAACTTTCCTCTAGGGGAGGGCCTAGAAGGAAGGGCCTGAGACCTTGGGAAGTGGCTTGAAAACCAGAGGTGTGTCCTGAAACCCAAACCCATGGAAACTGAGCACCTCCTATCTCACAGAGGCCTTTCATTTTTAAGACAAATTTAATATTAATTTCAATAATAATAATAATAAATTATGGGGGGGAGGGAGATAAATGAAGCAAGAGAGGAGCACAGAGATGGAGACAGTGAGAGATTGCTAAAAACATCAGCCAGTGAGTCAGAGAAACAGACTGAGAGAGGGAAATGGAAAGATCTCAGAGAAAAGATGGACAGAGTCAAGCATGGAAAAACCTGGTGGGACCCCAAGATTTTTGAGGAGACCAAGACTGAGAAACTCATAGAAGAGTCAGAAAGAGAAATTGGGAGGTGTGTATGCCAACAGACCAAAAGATGGTGTATCTAAACTCTCAAATATCAAATAATGATGATGGTCAACCAAGGTATTTCTTTTAATTAAGAAAAATAAAATGATAAAAAAAAAAAGATGAAACAGAGGCAAGCAATGGAGCATGCTACCTGGGGTCCTGAGATGGGGCTGCAGGCCAGACCTATCCTCTCCCACAGCCAGGCAAAAAAGGAGCACAGTAAACCTATACTGGTTAAGAAAGTTCTCCAGAAGATAGACCAATGCAGCATAATACCTACCACCAACCTCCTCTCCCTGAAAGAGAAATCTCAAATGTGACACACAACAGAGGACACATACCAAATCACATCAGAGAAGAAAAGGCATTGTAAATCAGTCCTGAAAAATGAGCAAGTCTAAGAAGAATGTCTGTCCCATTGTCTTTCTGTTACTTTCTCTTTCTCAATAATCAATAACAGTATCTCCCCATTCAGTATGTCACATACAAATATGATGGCTCTTTTGATTACCCTATGAAAATATGTTGTCAATTCTTTGTATCCAATAAACTTTATTCTTTAAAAAATAATAATAAAAAATAAAGACACGAAACAAAGCTAATAATAATAATAATAATAAATTGTGGTATCTAACATATGTATGTCAAGCACTATTCTTAGAACGCTTGCCTATATTGTTTCATTTAATCTTCATAACAATTTTATGAAGTACTATTTATTCTTATCCTTGTTTTATAGATGAGTAAATTGAGGCACAGAGAGGTTAGGGACTTGCTAAGGCCTCATAAGTAATAAGTGATGAAGTTAGAATTTGAACCCAGGCAGCTGGACTCCAGACTCTGGTCTCTGAACCTTACACTGTACTTCAGGAGTGGAAGGCAGTGGGTTTGGCAACTCTGGAGTGCTATCATGAAAAGCAAATAAGCAGCAAACCAGAATTGTAGCCTACTGAAATACCATAAAGATGACTGAGTCCCTACCGTTGATCCTCTAATCCCAGAAGAGATGTGTCATATTTTCTCCCTAAATAGTTTATGTGGTTCATATTGTTTACAGCTTCTTTCCGAATGGCTTTGCTTTTAATAAATTGCATATGTTCATTGCTTCTTTGTAAAACTTTTCTGGAAACATTACTCAGTTCATTTTAGGGAAGTCATGAAAATATTAATCTACTTTCTCAATATGACTAATTATTAATGCCATTGCTAAACAATTTCCTTTTCAAATGGGAACTCAAAATAATGACCTTTCTCTTGTACAACTTCACTGAAGTAAACGATGTTCTGAAAGAACATTTATCTTCTGAAAGAACAAATGAGTTTACGTAAAAGAGAATGTGTTTCCAAAGTATACACGTGGAAAAGATGGAATGTTCAGGGCCTGATGGCTTGCTGCTGCTATTGAGTGTGGCCTCCTCTGTGATTCTTTGCATCTTTCGTTTGGTTTTGTTTTTAACTTGAGCATTAATGATTTTTGTCTTTCCAGACTATCACGGAAAAACACAAGCTAAATGTTCCTGAGACGATGACTGAGGTTCTTGATGTTTCTGATGAAGAGGGTAAGACTCTTATTCAGTCATCTGTGATCTGTCACATTTTTACACAGGGACAAGCCATCCTTTTTTTTCAGGGAAGAAGCCGGTGCTGTGGATGACAGCATCATAACATTTAGTCACTTCACCTTTGTTTCAGTACATTTACTTTTGCCATGGAGTGGAGAGAGACTCTGATTAGTGTATTTCCCCCTGGTAGTATCTTTAATGTCTATTATATAACAGGACTTAGAAAAGGTGAAAGAAACTGGAAACTGACCATGTGTTACAATAGATACCTGATAATACAATTACTATGTGTTTTAATTATGTTAAAATATACTTTTTGTTCAAATACCTAAAGTAAAGACCTTAAGGTATAATACTCCATTAGTGGTATAGTGAGAAATCTCTGCTTTCAGATTGATTCGGATGTACAGAATATATTTTAAATCCACAGGAAAAGAGCCTTAGAGAAGGTTAAAAAATAGCACAGCAGCAAGCAGTGCAAATTCAACATAAGAATGTAATTTTTTAAATCAGAAAATATGCCCCCTCTAGTTTTACACTGGATAAAAATCATCGAAGGCAGTGGATTTCAAAGTCCTGAGAAACCTGTTTTTCTAAAAGGAGCCCTCGGGACAGCCTGGGGTGGAAGTGGAGCTAGAGATTGGGCCAGTGGATTCTGACTCCTTGCCTCTACTTCAACTGGAATAGTTGACTTTTCTTAGTTATGTATTTTGAATTTTCATGCAGTATTCCACTTGAACAAAAAATCTGCTGCTAAAAAATCATGAAAGCAGCATATAAAAGATGCAACTGAGCTTTAATAGTGCAGCTATTCATCAAATGTACACTACTGAAAAATTATTACCATATAGATGTACATGGAAAATGTATATGTTTGAAAAATTGTTGCCATAGAAGGGTAACACTAAGCCAAATACTAATTTATTTTATGGAGAAATATTAAAGATATTTCTTTAGGCTCTTCAAGATAAAATAATACAGTAAAACTTTTCATTGAGATGTCCTTATTTGGAACCAATTTGTTAAATAAGCTATTGTTAATAGGCATGGAGTTGCCTCAGCTTTTATAAAAGTTTATGACAAGAATGAACAAATGTTGGATCAGTGTATTATTATGAGTAAATTAAAAGATATCGCCAAAGCCAGCAGTTCCAACTATTTATTATAATTTTGTGTTCTATCATAATACTTGCCAACTAATTTTCAGCATTCACGTATGCACACTATATTTTGTTTTGTGGGATCATCTTTCTTATCTTCACTCATATGTTGAACAGCTTTTAAACAGTTTGGTGACCACTTTATTGATGGGGAAGCACTTAGTGACTCAGGTACCATTACAGGAAATTATTGGAGTGAAAGCTTTCCTTTGCTTTAATTTTTCTTAAGTAGATAGAAACAATTTGCTTAATATTTAAATCTGCATGCCTAATATTAATCTATTTCTTTTGAAATAGCATGTGTGATATGGATGGAATTGTACATGTGTGCATTTGAGTGTGTGGATTTTATTAACTTGAAAGCTTAAAGCCATGCTTATACTGTTAATGGTTTTGCAACCATTATTGAGACCTATTAACATAATTGCATTATCTGATAAACATTATATAAATATTTTTTCCAAAACTAATAACTTTTCTTGTAATATAAATTTAGAGAAAAAGTAATTCTTTGCTAACTTGACACTGAACTAGCATGAACATGTTATTAACTACATTAGACTGCTTGAAATGAATGCAGTACATTTTATCCCTCTTGGATGAAGATATATTTTAGGTGTGGTAAATATAGATTAAATTAATAGTTATAATATCATTTTTAATGGAGCTAAGAATAGAGATAATGTAACCTTCAAAAATTATTTAGGACAAATTTGTCATTTAGGGTAAAAATGAATAATATAAAGCGTTCTTCTAGCAAAAGTTTCCAAAGTATATGTGGTACCACTTTAAGCAATTCTATTACCTGAAAATGTAAATTCAAAAATCAGATAAATTAGACGATTATTATTTAATTTAAAAATAGCTCTTTATTTACAAAATAATTATTAAAGAATTTCGTTAGCTAGTGCACTTAATTTATTTATTACTGGGTTTATAGAAATTCCATTTATATAAAACAGCTTCTTGAATTTGCCTATTGCATAAAATGAGATCTAGCTATAATATTGTGTATTTTCTATTAAAACTGTTATATATTAAAAATTATTAGTGTAAGAACCCTTGATTTGAGAGGAATATTGGATAATGATCAAGAATATCTTTTGTAGTAAGAGAAGTTTTCCATATTTAGAAATACCCAAAAATTTAATAACATTTTTTTCCCAAAAGGAAATTCAATTTGAATAATTTTTATGTAAGAGATGCATTTGAATATTGTCAAGTAACTTCTTCCTGCAAAGAGTTAGTATAAAGGAAGTTGGCTGGTTGACATTGCCAACCCTTTAATGTTTTGTGCAGTTTAAATGTTTTCATGGAACCTGCTGTCATCCATGTGGACACAGTGCAGCCACATGCACTAGCCACTCCCTGTTTCCTCTGCAGCATCTACCATTTTAATAGTGTTATCAGTTGTCAGTACCCCAGACAGTATTCAAGCTAAGTATAGATGTTCTCTCAGGCTAACATGCTAGATATTAAAGCAATCAGCATTATCGACTCATGGGCCAGTCAACAAATAGTGAATGTAGTGTTCTTGTGTGGAAAAGTCTGTAACTGGTACCACAGGAGAATCAAAGGTAAACATGGGGCATGGCTTTAAGGAGCAGATGTGGAGAGATAATGCATAAATTAAAAGAAGTATAATTGAAGGTACTACATCATCAGTTTTTCATGTCCGCTTGGGGAGATCAGAAGTTGGAGATCCATAGCACAGTCTCCTGGACATGCTGAGAGATGAGAGATTAATTAGAGGGTGACACAGGTTTTAGGAAGCGGGGAAGGAAAAGTATGGGAAGCCCAGAGATAGGAAAGTGCAAGAGAGAGTGACAAAATAATCCAGTCATTCAGTTTGGCTGATGCATGAAAACATATGGGGCTCAACTGGGGAGGGTTTGAATTTTTATCTTAAAGGGGAAAAGTAGGATAACTTAAAGATTCCAATTAATGATTGAAACAGTTAGATCTGTTTTTATAATGATTAAACCAGCAGTGGTACACAGAAGTGTATTGGAAAGAAACTGGAAGGAAGGAGATATCTAAGAGAAAGCATTTACTAAACATCTGTAAGGTGAGGTGCATTGTCTCATTTAATCCCCATAGCATCCCAGAGACATAGACTATGGATTTTCCCCCATATTTTTTTCAGGTGAGGAAAGGCTTGTCTGAAGGTAAGAGAGATTAGGCTTAGAGACATTAGTAGTTTGTTCAATGGTACACAGCTATTAAGTCGTGGGTGTCTAGACATAGTATAAAACTGTGGTAATAACTTGGTCATGATATAAATAATGTCCTGATGGAGGGACATGGCAGGTAAATGCAAGGAGAAAACAGAAATGGGAAATTCGGTCTAAGAGAATTGTACTGTCCAGACTTAGCCAAAGCTTTAAATGGAATGCTCTGCATCATTGTAGGATCATGAGCTGATCCCTGTCTTTGCTGACTCAGCTCCACAGCCATAAATTATAATATAGTGGGGCTCAGGGATTATAAAACCATGTAAACAAAATGCCTGTAGAAGTGTGACTCACGTGTGCCTTACTCTTTAAGATCCATGAGTGGATGATTTGTGCACACTTCTCCACCAGTGCTCTGGAATGACATGGCCTAATAGTCAAGAGAAATGCAGAATGGCTAAGTGTTGGGATGAAACGTAGAAGCACCATCTATCTTCTCCTTTGATTCACTTCATCTATGAACACTTGACACTTAGCGAGGCTTCTCATCTCAGGTTTCAGTCCTTTCCCCATGTCTCAGCAGAAATAGTACTTGTATGAGAGGGAGGGGGCTCAGTGTTATTTCAGAGAATCTCCTTCTTGCCAGCATCGGGGGGGGGGGGGGTCAGGAGGGAGAACCCTTGGGATCATTTAACC